CAATGTAAGTTGGATAAGATTCAAAAGCATTGGGTCTGGGTGAACGAAAACGCTAGCAGTATCTGAACTTGTTAATCCTTGTTCATCGCTTACAGTTAGTTTGAAAACATAACGGCCAGAAACCAGATTGGTGAGCTTTAAAACAAACAATTCATGGGATTATTTTATGGATTATTTTATAGATGTATGAGATGTATACTCACAATCATAACGGGACTACTATCAGTCGTTCCCACAATTTGTCCGGCAGCTAAGCTAGCATCTTCTCGGGTCCACTGATATTTAACCACACCTAAGTCATCCGAAGATGAAGATCCATTGAAATAAATTGCCGACACTGGCAGAGTAATGCTTTGATCTCCGCCAGCATTCGCCACAGGTGGTGAATTTTTCTCTTGCACCACTTTAACCCAAATGCTATCTGTAGCCGTGTTATTACTTTCGTCCATTACCGCCAATTGGAATTCATATAAACCAAGAGTCAAGCCAGTTGCATTTGCCACCTTAAAGCAAAAAAGAAACCGTAAAATAAAACGCTTTGAACGCTTTACCAAAATACTTACTGTTTCATTTGATTTCGAGATAGAGGCTGTATTAGGCCCAGAAACTTCCTTCCATTCATATGATTTTATGCCAATATCATCTGTCGAGCCAGATCCATTTAATAGTACCCAGTTGGTTGGTAAGTTTATTGTCTTGGGAAAAAATGTTTTTAAACTTGCAAGTTCAATAAAACGAATAAAAAGGAAAGTATTTACCATGTTGGAGCCAGCAACTGCAACCGGAGGTGAATTTGTTGGTGGCTTTACAAAAACATGAACTTTTGCTGTACTTGACTGTCCACTGCCATCTGTTACTTTCAACACGAATGTATACATGCCCTCTTCCAAGTTGGATAACTGTACGTATGGAGTCCTAGTATTTTGCATGTCTACCGCTTTGGCTTCATCACTGGCATCCTTGGTCCATTCCCAGGCCACAATTTCATGATCATCGGAACTGGCAGTTCCGTTCAGAGTTACATTATTATTGGGCAAATACAGTATGACTGCATCCCCGGCATTTGCAACAGGTGGATAATCGGTTCCCTTCAGAACAGTTATATTTGCTGTCGTAGAATTGGTCACATTATCCGTATCGGTAACTGTTAATTTGAATGTGTAGTTTCCGGGAGAAGTCAAATCCGTCAATTGAAGTGTATTGACTTCGGGTAATTTTGGTTGATATCCTATTGGACCAGAAACAACTTCCCAATGCCACAATACAATCCGGTCATCATCTGTACTTGTACTACCATCCAAAATGGCATTAGTGGTGGGTTGTCTAATTGTCTGTTCGCTGGGGGTAATTATGACCTGAGGTACGCGATTTATGCGTTTCTCAGGCAACACTGTTACATTGGCCATGGCTTCGCCATAAGTACCATTATCGCCCGTCACAGTCACCTTAAAAGTATACAGGCCTTCGGATAAATTCGATAACTTTACTTTGGACTGACTTTGGTCAGATATGGTACCATTCATAGGACTTTTGGGCTGGTTAATTAGTGTCCAAAGATATTTGTATTTAGTACTGCTTGACTCTTCGTCGGGCACAGTAAACGCAGCCAATGTTACTTCTTTTTCGGGCAAACGAACTTCTTTCGATACAACCGAGACCATTAACTTTTTATTCGCGTCTGTCTTGGGTGTTGGTTCAGATTCTGGTTTCTGTACTGTGGTGGCCTCGTTCGATGAAGCCGACGCCATCATTATATTGTGTGCTCCTCCCGACTCATCCAACAAACTGTAGTCTATCGAGTCTGGGACACAGACACGCAGATGGTTGCGCACAAAACCTCTAACACATTTACAAATACCTGTATTAACATCAACCGAAATGCATTCTTCGTTTGGAGGACATCTATTACCACCTGCCTCGGAACCCAAATCCAAGTTGCAAGTTAAGAACTTAGTCAAGGCTGCTGACTCAGGCGATAAGTTTGCACGATAATACGCCAAATCCTCCGGTAATATGCCTTCACTTTCATCCAAAGGTGATGACATTAACAATTGCTTCACCCTCTTTTCGGCCAAGGGAAAATCATCCTCATCATAGTTGTTGGGCACAACCGTTTCTCCACTCCGAGAATAGTATGGCAATTTGTGTGGTTGTTTCCAAAAGTTAAGCGAATTTATGTTCTCATTCCCCTCGCTTTCCTCAAATGGCAACATCTCGTTCAAAGCCTTTGATGCCTTTAACGAATCTAACCATGAGAATTTTTCTTTTTCACCATCGGCCCTAACCGGGTTGACCAAAACCATTTGTATGCGTCCGGGCAAAGATCTACGCTCCTTGGGCAAACAGGCTTCATTGCTGGCACACCGCACATGATAGCATTTGTGCTTAAACATGAAGACCACATTGCAAGTGTTATTCCGGCCCTTTTCACAGCACGCTTCAACGCATGTACGCAAGTCCACTTCACCTCCAGAATTTGCATCATCCGCAGAAGGATATTTCTCAAATATGCCAGAATTCAATTCATCATGTGGCATGACGCTCTCAAAAACATAACGTACCATATTGGGACACAGCACTGTCAAGTCACCTTCGCCTGCATTTCGTGTATTTACTGGGGTGTCTACTTGAGTCGTTTCATGAGCACCAGCTCCTGCTGCTGCCGGAGTGTCCGTTGTCACAACGGAGTCCATCGCCCATGCTGCCACCACATATGTTGTCATCAGAAGTAAATACCTCATTTCCCAATTAATCATGTTGATGGATTATTACAAGCTTTGAAAATTTTATATGCGCAACAACAATTATCAGTGTCCGAAAAACAAACTATATTCTTCAATTTTTGCCTCTATTCAATAACATTTTGTTTTACTCTCGAAGTAACCACTTATCAACTTTTCACTCAAACAATGACGAAACAAATTTATTCTTTGAATGGGATATAGCTAAGTAATAGAGCACAGCCGACGAAAAAAATATTGCTGGGTGAACAATAAAAAAACAACCCTCGCCACCATCCGACCCCTTCTATTTTATAAATAATGTCAAAATAGTTTCTGACAATCAGCTGACAGATGCGATTATAGGCAGAATGGTGGTGGAACAGAGCCGATAACTTTAATCGATAAATTTCCGGCATTGTATGATATCGTATGGGGATGTTGTTGGTTGGATATTTAAAATTTTTGGTCTGTGTCAAAAACCATTGAACACTTAGGAAACAATTTTGGGAATTGGGCAGCGTCTTATCGGATCAATCTACAATTTAGAGGATCCTAGACATAGAACACTTCCTTCAGTTGTGTCGTTAGAGACATAAGTATAGGAGCTACCGGAATTCTTTCAATTACAGCCTTCTACATTTAAATTTGTAATAATATTGCCAATAGAAGACTCTTCTATTTGAAGTTTCTTCTGGACTAGTTAGATCTACTAGTCACTAGCTAGTCCTTAGCTAATTGAAGCCTGTGCATATACCATTTCTTCTGGACTATTTAAATACATATTAATGAAATATTTAATTCCAAAATCATTAATATTATTATTGTTAATTTCGGGATCCATTTCAGTCTCTGGCAGAATTGGCAATGCGTTTTCTTAATGTGAATGTCATGCCTTTGTGTATTATATAAATATTCTGCCCGGAAATGATCTGAACAAACAATATCATTATTCCACAAGGAGGTACGCAACAAACTTACTTTCTTGACATCTAAAAACTTGAAAAAATATGAGTATGAAGTTTCAAGATTATATAATACGTAGAAAATATCATAATATATTGTTACAAATGTAAATTTAATAAAATATATATAAATATATAAAAATATAAAATATATATATATGAAAATAATTAGTAATATTGTCATGTTATGTAATTAATATATCTTTTTATTAAATCCATTTTCCTTTTTAAATTTTATTGACATTTATATTACTGATTATTATATTTTTTATATTATTTTATTTTACTTAACTTATTTATTTTAATATATATTTTATTATTAATTAATTATTTACCTATTTTATTTATTGTTTTAAAATATATTATGCTTTTAATAATTTATTTACTTAATGGTTTATTAATTTATTTTTTATTCTATTTTTATTTTATTGTTTATTTTTCTATTTTTTGTATAATAAAAATAATACTTGATGATATTCATTTCTTCATTTATGTTATCCTTGTGCACTCATTTGTAACAGGCAAAAGGAAACAATATAAATCAGTAGTTACGGTAAGTGAATTCAATTGTTTCGAATGCATATACGTGCAGTCTATTCGGCTTTGTTGTTGTACATTCTAATCCGACCTTTGAATTGATGTTGCCCTATAGTAGTAGTAGTAGTAAAATGTTCCTCACATTAGGAAAATCTTTAATTTAACTGTTTCCAATGCAAGCATGCAACTAATTCGGCTTTGTATGTACATTCTAATCCATTTAACTTTAACAAATTTAATAATTAGCAGACTGGTCCGCCATACTCGCTTCAAACATTGAAAGATTTCAGTTTTAAAATGTTCCTCACAATAGGAAAATCCTTAATTTTTTTTTGTTATAATCCTGCCTATTGAACAATAATTTTCTTGTTTTTATCCAATGTAACATATTCTTCAACATTATACTAAATATATGGTACATTATTAATACTTTTCTTTTAAACTAAACTGTAATCGATACTATAATTGCTATATACAAAATAAATACTTCTTTGTACGACATCCACGCTTAATATGTATGATGAGGGCTTTCCTTTTCACTGCAAATTTATCAAAAACAAATAAATCATAAACATCTTTGCTGTAGCAAGGCAGAACTAAAAATATTTCCTTACCACTTAATTCCGTTTTTCAAGTGGGACTATACTGTTTTACAAAATACTCTGTTCTTACACTCCATTCAGTTTCAGTTCAGGATTATCTATTAGTTTTCTTTATTTCTTATTTCCACAACATCTTCTCTTCACCTGTTGCAGCCAAAATATGGTGCCACACTCCAGTTCAACAACAAAACTTGAATTTTTAAACTTGATAATAAGAAATGCAAACATCTTCCTTAAACAATGCTTCAAATTCCCTACAAATTTTGATGTTTGTACTTCGCACAGAAAAAAGTGGCGCAAAGGAGTATTAACACAAACAAACATCGTGCACACAAACAGCAGAAAATTGGTAAGAATGCGAGATAAAAAATTCATTGACCATCCCAGGCAATGCCAGTTTTGGTCTAAAGCCGGTATTGCATTAACATCATTCCATTTCAACGTCATTGATCCAGAATCCGAGAGAACATTCCCTTTCATGTGTAGTTCGAGTAAAACTAAAATTTAGTCTTATTTTCGTTGTTGAAAGCGAAGCTTGCACCTGTTTTAGAACCGCATTTCAGTGAGAACGAAAGAAATGCAATCGTCGTCAATAAAACTGGTTGAAAGGGTTGCAGTTCTGTTGTTTGTTCTGCTTATGGCAACATCACATTTGCCTTGTATTGAAATGAGCAGCGATGATGATGGAACACTTGAAGAAAACGGGCGTGTTGTCTACGACCAGCGTCAAAGCGGCAAATACAATATACATGTGGTGATTAAGGATGTGGCTATTATTGAAATGGGTCAAAATGAATTCCAAGACGTACGTTTATTATTGCCTCATTAATTTCTTACATTGTGTTTATGTAGTTGAATTTTAATTTAGACAAAATATAAGGAAGTTTTAAAAGACATTGACATCTAAAATTTATTTACAGAATAGCTATAGCGATGAGGATTACTATTACGATGAAAATGATTTGACTGTTAGGCCAATAACTCTTAATCCTCCAACGGCAGCCATGACTACAACAAAACTTTCGACAACAAGCACTGTGAACAAGGAGAATAATTTTACTGCGCTAAGTGTGGATGGAGTGACCGGAAATTCTTCAAGACCGCACATCGAACAAAATACCTCAGCTTCTTTTAATAAAATCCAAGAACATGACGAGACAACAATAAATTCAAATGTTCTGTGGAATACATTAACATCATTGATTTCTGGAAAACCTTTAGCCGATAATGAAGTAACCACTTTAAAGCCTGACATGTATCCAACAAGTAAAACTACTGTGCCGAATATTGAGGTGAAACCACGTAGTAAAATTGAGCCAATTTTTGCTCAGGACGATTCGCCAAAATTTAGAGATGATGCTATACCCTTAAGAAATTCTAAAATATATAAATTAAAAATACACAGGTCCCATCAACCCTTTGCCCGCCCATCGAAGAAATCACAAGCAAGACGTTGTCGTTCCAATCAATCCAAAAATGTCAATGGCCATTGTGGCAATAAGAGATCAACTTCTGGATCCCTATTGTAAGAAAGTTCTGCTATATGACGTTTTTTCTTTTTATTTAATTTTACTTCGTTTTGCTCAGGCATCGTCTCTTCAGCATGTTGGTAAACTTACCGGTAGTAAGCGGCGGGGAGCAAGAACAACAACAACAACAACACTATGATGACTAAATTGAAATAATATTTAATTCAATTTTTAATTATAATATTTTGAATAGACTAAAACTAATACAATAAACATTTCTTAACTTCGTATCTGTGTGTTTTGCATTTTTGCCTAATGTTCTGCATTATGTTTTTTACTTTTTTCTCTTTAAAAATGAAGTCAACATTTAGTAAATTGTAAAATTTGTCTCCTTATCTTTATTGTGTAACAATAAAATGATAAACTTAAAAGCAAACATTTTACAGAATTGGATATTCAATAAGAAATTAAATTAAAAACAAGAAATAATTTAGTTATTACTTACAATTTCGTAATGAAGAAGAAAGTTAAGGGGTAGAGCAAACATTTACAACATAATAAAAATATTAATACTTTTTTTGTTATGATTAGGATATGTACAGATCTAATGAGTTAAAATTTCAATCAAAAATTAAATAAAGAATATATGTATGTAAACAATCACCAATTACTTGAATATTGATAAAAACAATATTCAATTTTTGTCTTTTACTGGGAGAGCTTTAAAACGTTTTAAGAGTTTTGAAAACTCTTCATAATTGCCATAACAATGCATAAACATTTAAACTCAAGTTAGGGTAAGATAAGATATTTTAGAAGTTTTTTTCTTGGAAACAATAAGAGAATAGGGTAAAACGAGTGGAATTTTAATACATCGGTTTAATACTGCAGAATAAAATTGGATTCTGTAATTCTTAATTGTGTGCATCTTTGACAAAAAATTTTAAAGGAAAATTTAATGTTAGCATTCGGATTGCAGCTTGTGTATAATATAAAACACCCTCTAAAATAAGGGTTGTTGCGAAATTGGAATAATTTATTAAATAAACAAATTGTACTCGACGTAAAGAGAATGAAACTGAAAGCAATTGGAACATACATCCGTTTTATATTCGGGATGTACAGAAAACAAGAGTCCTTAATGACCACATAATCATAACAACTCCATTTGTAACCACTTTCTGAGGGTACCTTATACTTCATACAAGCTTATATAAAATAATATTGAATATTAAATTTTTAAAGTTGATGATATTAAATATTTTCTATGGGATATACACAAAGTGATGTACTGTTTAAATAAATATTATAAAAAATAACAAATGAGCAAAAAAGTAGTAAATTGTTCAGCTTAAGAATTTCTCAAAGAAATAAAAATACATTCAAATATTATGCAGGCTTAATTTACTAATTTAACTATGTACGAATATATATCGTATTACCATGGAATTAATCTAAAACAGAAATTGCGCAAATGTAATTTAGTAGTAGAGTTGATAGTTTGTTTGCATTCATCCTGTGCGCATTTTTAACATAGAGTTACTTTTCAATTTTTTATTTTGGGATTTCTAAGAGATTTCCTTTGTTTCTGGCATTGAACATATTAGATGTCTTTTTTTCTCTATTTCGTTGTAACCGAAAATAATTATTTTTAAAATTAACTAAAGTTGTAGTGTTTGGTAGTTTTGTATAGAGTTGTAGTCTATTGGAAGGCGTTTTGAGTACAATTGCAGATTGATGACCATCCATTTCGAGTTATATTTGTTGTGGTAATAAATAATTGGAATAATTTTGGTTCTGATTGATGGCATAATTTAAAAAGTCTTAGATTGTTCTGCGTGGCTGAGTGTATATAATTGTAAAGCACACACACTTATAACTAAAGAAGGGTGCTCAATACAGAGTTGCAATAACAGGTTTCCAAATGACAATCGCAGCCTTCCGAACATTTCCATTTTATATTTCGATATTTGTTGCCGAGTTCTTACCTTTAACTTCAAATATCCTTCTGTTTTTTAATCAGGTCTTAACAATTTAAGGCATTCCTGGTAGTACTGAACAATTTTGTCTTTGTTGAGGCTGTTGCTGCAGCATACTGGCCCGCACCCTTTGTTGTTCTAATCTCTGTACAGATGCTGTTAAATGAGAATTTTCCACATACAAATCTTTGACGAGAAAATCGGCCTTTTGCAAACGCTGTACCTGGTCAACAATCAATCTACCTTGAGTTTCAAGACGTTCATGCAGTTCATTTAATTCTATTTGATGATTGCGCCAGGATTCTAAAATTAGAAGAGTATACGATGATTGATTATGTATTTATGCATAATAATGTGATTATTTATTTGATATGGCTTACGTTGCATTATAGAGTCTGTGTACTGCTGTTGCTGTTTGATGACATTTTGCAAATGACGATTTTTCAATTCCAATTGATTTACTCTTTGTATTAATGACGGATGGGCCGTTCTCTGCAAATAGAAGCGAACAGAGTTGTAAATTTAGATGGCTAACATAACAAATAGCATCACATTAGTTTTAGCACATATGGTGAATGTTTTAAAACCCCCATTCTGATAAATCATAATTAATTTAATTTTAAATTTTGATTATTATTAAAATATAATTGAGTTTGTAAAATATGGATTGGTACTTCGCCGTTTCTGTTTGAAACAACCCATAAATACTACACACCCATATTTGATTTGATTGAGTAAAACTTCTTGCGAACTTACCGCATATGCCTTCTCTAACACTGGCTTAGCTTCTTGCAGTTGTTGAAGTTCCATAATTAAACCATCTCTCTGCAATGACAAGTCCTTAATTTGTTCCTTCAAAGAAAGCTCAAAGAATTTCAAACGTTTTAGTTCTTCTTTCATTACACTTGGTGTTGGACTAGTTGAACTATTCTTTGTGCTGGCATTTGATTTGGTGGCCAATTGCGTATTGCGCTGCTGAAGGCTGTGATTCGAATGTATACTGTGCGTTTCGAAACTTTTGCCTGATGCTGTCGAGGAGGTTTCACAATCGGCCACATCTCCCGCTTCGGAGGTCGCAGTATTATGCGATTGTGACTGACTGGGCTTTTCTATCGGTGACTGCAGTGATGTCTGCGGCGGTGTGCTGAAAATTGTAGTTTCCGAAGTTGTTAAATTTAAACTAAAAATAAAACAAAAGAAAATGCAGACAACACAAAAATTGTTTGTTAGTTTCGTGTGTTATTTCTTGAGTATAACGAGATTTGTTGTGTATGTACAATTTTTACTATCCTTTTTTTTCGCCTTTTGTGATATAATAATACTAGTATTTTGTGCCATTTAAATATGCAACTAATATAGCACGTAACTTGCGGGCAGTACCATTGTTTTGAAGGTAAGACATAGGAACGGCTCTATTTTGATCGAAAAGTTCATTCATTGTGTAAATTTGAAATTAATCAACGTTTGCAGTCATCGCAACAATTGATGGGCACTACTACTATTTTGGGTACAGTAGCTTTGGCTTTGAACAATAAATCATTTTAAAATTGTTTTATTCTTAGTTTTATTTTATTAATTTAGCTTAAAAGTATTTCATAAACGCCCTTATGTTCTTTTGTAGAATTCTCATTGCAAATCGGTTTATCATGGCATTATTTTTTACAAGGTCACGTCTTTGTAGGCGGATCTAAAAAGTTCTGCCTAATGAGCCAAAGGAGCTTAACGATCATAATACAGGGTGAGATGAAAAAACTCCAACCAAATTCAGACTGCTGTCATTACTAAGCCACTCGTCCGGCAGCTGTTAAAATTATTCCAATGACAGCTCATTATATTGTTTACAAGCGTACAAAAGCATTTTGGTAAGAATTTTCTAGGAAAAAAGTTATTAGTGATGGAATTCAAGCGTGATAGTGTGATTTCTTTATATTTGGCTGGAAAACCACAAGTGGCTATCGTCAGACCACTCCAGCATTTAAATGTGAATAAATCTTTTGTGTCTCGTAACATCGCTCGTTACCGTGATACTGGTAGCGTAGCCCGACGTCAAGGAAGTGGACGGAAGAAAACAGTAACATCAGCAGAAATGGTTCGAAATGTAAAGAAGCTACTTGATCGAAACCCGTGTCGCGGTGGCCGAAAAATGGGTCGTGAGCTGAACATATCGCAATATTCCAATCGGCAAATATTGAAAAATGAACCCGTTGAAGTTCCAAACAGTGCAAGAACTTACACCACAAAAGAAAGAAAATAGACTCAAAAGAGCTAAAGAGTAGCTTCGCTTAGCCGAAAGTGGTGAACTGCCGAATTTGGTTTTCTCCGATGAGAAAACATTCGTTGTCCAGCAGTTTGTAAACAAACAAAATGATCGTGCTTATTTGCCACCTTCGGTTGGCTACCCGAACTCAAACGTCGGTCATGGTGATGGTGTGGGCCACCATAACAGCCGATGTTCGGTCTCCGCTCGTGGCATCAGAATAAATGCCGAATATTATCGCAAAAATATTCTGGAGGGTATATCAAAGTCTTGGGCACGCAAACATTCTGCCCGCAGACCTTGGACATTCCAACAGGACTCAGCACCATCGCACTCAGCACGCTCCACCCAAGAATGGGTGGAAAAAATTTCCGGATACCAAGGATTTCCGGAAAGCAAGGTTGGCACTAAAAAAAACCAAAGTGTTGAATATCTCAAGCAAGCGCTTCGCCGGGAATGGGCTACAATACCACAGAGCAACATTCCGGCAGGGTGTGACTGTTTCATTGGCCGTTTGAAGGCCATAATTCGTGCTAAAGGTGACCAATTCGAATAAATCTAAATTTATTCTCAAATTTGATGCTGTCCGAAATTTTTTGCTTTCATTTAATAAAATTAAAAAAAATAAATAAAAATTTTGGCGTTTGACTGTGTTGCAGTTTTTTTTATCTCGCCCTGTATATTCCTTACTATCCTGATAATCCCGATAAACCCTTGATTGATAGGTACTTTATAACAGAATAAATGCAGGAGTCTTATTATTTGCCAAATCAGTAGTGGCAACTCGTCTATCTTAAATACTATCATTCATACAACATACGAAGTGCATGCTTTTTTTTAAATTAAAAAAGTAAAGTCGTTCGAGGATTTCAAATAATTAATTTTTTTTTCTGGCCACGTTCCGGCTAGAATTCAAAATTATAATTCTCTTTATAGAACAGTGTTTGGCTTGCTTGTTTGGGATACCATAGTATTTTGTTGTTGCTCTCTCTTTATTCTAATATTCGCGTTGTGCTCGCCATTTATTACAATATGATCAAACGCTGTGCGTACATTTCGAAGAAGAAAATACTTATTTTTAAGTTTGAAAGTTAAATATTGTATGTTCCTTAACCAAACCACCTATTATTTTAACCAAGTAACAAAACATTAAATCCGAAGAGAAGCATTTTTGTTCGAATATATTCCTCTGGGAATAAATGTTTTGGTAGATTTTGTACACTACACATATAAGGCCCAAATAACAACCATATAAAGGACTTATTTGATTCATCTGGGCCATTTGTTTATTACTTTGTGAAACCCAAGAAATAGAACGACGATATACAAACACACTCATGCAAAAATTGTACATTTAAAAGTAAGTAAACAAATAAAAAATAAAACAAAATAAAAATATCAATATATGTCAGCACATTAAAAATATATACATACGTTTATTTACAAATAATAATAATAATAATAAAAATAATGAGACCTATTAATAATAGTCAATTTTAAATTAAGTCTTAAGTAATATTAAATAAATTCATTCGATTTTAGTTGCCAATTTACTTTCTCTATGAGATCCCTCGCTGAACTTATAGTTCATTGTTAAATTATTTACAAAAGGTTGGTTAGGTTATTGAAATATTATGGACTAATACTTTTGGTTGTTGTATGCGGGTGATTATATGATGGGGAAGGGGGTTAGATAATTAAATATTTCCGATAAGCCGATTAAGAAAACGTTTTGAGAATTGCACTTGCATGTTATGGGATTTCAAAGGAAATGAGCAGCTAAAAATGAGTATGGTTTAAAAAATGATTATTTGATATAAATAAAAATAAGAATTAAAAATAAAAGTTTACTTTGAAAATAAAACATTTTTAACAATTAAAATACTTTGGTTGTAGTTGAAGTGTATTTAAGTACTCACCGTACTGCATTATTGCTCAAAGGCGCCACAGGCATTAGGGTGGGTAAATTGTTTTCCACGGATTGTTGACAATTTTTCGAGGGTTCCTGTATGGTGCTTTGGTGCCACAGATAACTGATAGGGGAGCTGGCGGGGCTGCAAGACTCAGCCAGATTCATGGCATTACTGGCGGCATTCTCTGGTTTCAGTTCATAGGCCCCAGTCAAAATCTCCACACTTTCACCCAAACGCAAACGGAGATCTTCAATTTCGTTTTGTAACATTTCAATTTCTTGAGATTTTTCTTCAAACATTTTTCGCGCATTTTCACGGATTTCTTCGGCCTCGGCTTCCAAATCGGCATATTGTTGTTCGAGCATGTCTTTTTCTTCGATTGGAGAAAGGCGGCCGTCCTTACTGAATTGTTCCTCATATTCACGGACCTTTTCCATTAGCTCAGTGAATTTTTTATCACTTTCCTGTTGTTCTTCTTCGTAGATTTGTCGCTCCTTTTCGAAGAGGGCTCTTTCTTCTGTCAATTTGGCTTGCCAGTAGTCTTCGCAGTCTTCGTAGGCTTTCTGCATCTGTTCTAAGCTAGCCTCCAACTCACGACAGCGTTCTTCTGGTGTGGGTGACGATGACTCTGTGCCATCTCCACTAGCCTTCTGTGTTGCTAATTCTTTAGCCATCTTAAGTTCGTCCTCTAAATCTCTAATGCGTTTACGCAGACTTTCTATTTCTTCGTGGGCCTTTTTCAACGTTTTGGTTTGTTGTGAATTCTGCAATTCAGAATTTAATGCCATCCATTCGCCACTGGTATCACTGTTTTCACTACCGGTGTGAGTTTCATCATTCGCACATTTTCTTAATTTACCCAAACGAGGACTTTCTTCGATTAGCCTAGTTTTTGTAGGCGAATCGCCACGACGTTTGGTAGCTGTGTTTCCGGAATTAGAGTCGCTTTCTTCTTGGTTAGATACGGTAGCTTCTTCTGGTGATGCCAGTGATTTTTTGCTTTTAATTTTCATTTTATTCAACTCATGATGCAAAGACTCAACTTCGGCCATAAGTTCATCATTTTTATCACGTAAATTACAGTTCTCTAACTGTAGTTTTGAGATTTTGTCTACCAAAGTTAAAACTTCCTCATCTGCCATACTCTTGTCATGTGACTCACGATACTGGCCTGCATGTTTCTTTTCATCCATATCGGTTAGTTCACGTTGTAGTTCGATGTTTTTCTCCAACAATTCTGTGATTTGTTTTTGCATTTTATGCTGTTCAGATTCCAAATCTTCATTCTCCTTGCGAACTAATTCCAATTCGGTTTTAAATCTTATTTCATCTTGTTCGAATGATTTTATGCGAGCCTCCAAACGTGAATTCAGATTACACCAGTTTTCTCTGTCACTAGCCAATCGCGCAGTAAGGTCTCTAACAACACCTGCATGTTTTTGTTCCAATAGACGTATCTGCGAATCAAGTTGCAAAGCAAGATAATTAGTAACCGATTAAAGATATGTTTATAAATTCGAGAAAAAAGACTTACTTCTTTTTTGGTAGCATCTTCAAGAGAGGCATGCCTCTCATCAATTTCTACCGCCAATAAAGCAATACGCCGATTGGCATCTTTATTGTCTGACCTGAGTTTGGAATTCTCATCATGCAGTTGCTTGGAAGTTTGTCTTAAGTTCGTCAACTCCACCGACTGCAAGGCCAAACAGGCCTTCATCAATGCCTGCTGAGGTTCTTCGTCCAAATTTGGTATTTCTTCTTCCATCACTTTATTCAATTGGGCCAAATTGATTTCATCACTGTCAAAGCCCAAGGCCAACAAAATTCCACGGCCGTTGGGAATATTGGAACGTTCCCATAAATCCAATATGGTATTTACTGGTAGTGTTTCCATTAAACCAGGAGTATCTAGAGGTAATTTAAAAAAGTTATAATATGTTTACTAATAATAAGAGATTTATTGCTATATTATCTAGTAACCGGAACCTTTAGTACGGAAGAGAGGATTGCAATATAAAATCTACATGGAGATATGTTCCACATTTTTGTATTTTACTTATAGTTGAAAATAATATCAAAAGGAAACAAAAAGACAAACTAAAAGTGACATCGTTAAAGGTGTAGAAATGGAAGTTAGAAAGACAGATATAGGATTGTGCTAGAACTGACTCTACAAAAACACTAAATAGTAGGTGCTTCTTATAAGATGTTTTTTTTTGTTTTGTTTTATATGTATGTTACTACAACTATTTGATTAGAGACCACTCTAGAAAGAGCGTGCAGTTTATACCACCAGCCGTTTTTAATGCTTGTTTTGTATTTGGATTTTTTGTTTATGTTTCTTTAATCTTATTGCCACTAAGTCAATTCAAAACAAACCTTTAGCCAAATGTCCGGTATTTAAATGAGCTTTGCTTAACTCCCATTCATAGGAACTCCAAACAGCGTGCATGGCAGATGAAAGATTTTTCAAACCTAAATTATTTTACGTTTTTTTTTTTTTAATTGTGAATTTGAAAAGTGAAAGAAGTCAGTATTTTTGCTATCCAAATATTACACATATCAAATACAAGTTAAAGCATTACTTGAAGAATATATAAGATACATTGATGTCTGTGAGGACATTGCGGAGACGACTGACAGAACAAAAGCTATACAATCGCGACGAAAGGCTTGGCAGAGAATATATTTCAATAGGTTATGACAATGACACATAGACAAACCAATTTGTGAAAATTGGCCAATTTTAATGATTTGAGTTTGAGTTTATTAGCTGCTTCTGCTGTTGGTGCACACAACATATGTACACTGGCAATTGCTGGAGACAACAACAGTGGTCGGAAGAAAAGAAGCTAGAGTGTGCAGTAAATGTATGGATTGAATTAAAGCGTAATGAGGGCATACTTAGGGAAAGCCAATGACGGTTTTGATGATTGCATACAGATGACAGAATACTACACAAAATCAAAAACAATAATTGTAATTGAAAGTTTTGTTCATCTAAATCTAGGATTTTCAAAAGTATTATAAAGAAGTACCCCCCTCCCTCGCTCTCTTACAATTAAATCCAGAAATCCTATTCTTGGAGTAATTCTTGATGAATGTATTTCCCAGTTTCGTTAATAAGGAATTTGTATGAGTAATGAAAACAAAAGCTCTAGAAGATGATGTTTGCTGAGGTTAAAAGAAAGCACTGACATGTTATGAAAGAAATTCAATTCGAAAATAAAACTGCCTCAGTTAAATCATAATTTGTTTCAAATAATACTTACCAAGAGATTCAACGCTACTGCTAAGTGGTTTCTTTGCTAGCTGTATTAAAGAATCGTTACCAATTTTTGCTTTGTTTTGGAATTTCGTCTTATTCTGGTTGAATAGATTCCTTTGCGCCGGCAACGAAGCACAACGTTTTAGTTTGGTTTCGGTGACGCCAACAGTCTGACGTCGTCTAGTACCAGGTATATCGGTTTGTGAAGTAGATCTCTGGACTTGCTGTGTTATACAGCCACGATGTGAGCTGGAGTCTTTTTCTTCTGTGGAATCTTCTGAGTCCGAAGCACTGGCATCTCCAGTCTTTGAATTATGTGGCCTAGATCGACGTCCATATTTCTTAGTACCCATCACCAGTTTTGGAGAGACTTCGCGATCTGAAGACTCTGGCGGGCTATCCATAAAAGTTTCTTCCTGATCCAGTTGTTGTTGTGGGTTTTCAGATATAACTAACGATCGCTCTATAATTAAAAAAATATATTAGTTGATAGATAGTTTTATGGGAGCAAATTTCCTTCTTACGTAAATATCTAGCCAAATCATCCATTGTTGGATCAATGTATGCTTTGGCCTTTCGATAAAAGAAATGTGTGCCCATTTCGCTAGGTGTGTACGCTTTTAAAGCAATTTTGGCAATATTGTCTGACTTTGTCACAATATGTCTTGAAGACTACTGATGACAATTTTGGAACTACAATGCTTATTTAAATACTATCTCTCCTCTAGCAATCTACAAACAATCAGGTAGAATGTTAAGGCACTAGAACCTTTGCCGAATTAAAAATTCCCACATATGTATGCTAAGCCAACAACTGCTTATGATGTCGATTTACCTGAATCTATAGCAAAAGGAAAGTATAAGACATGCTATAAAAGTCAGGTGTTTCCAATGGTCGAAAACATCTAGGTAATTACTTGGGTAAGCCAAAGCACTTAAAACTGTTTGCGAAGTACAAAAACAATTTGCAAATATATCCTTTAAATGTTCTTTTAGAACATATGGTTTCGTAGGTATGATCATTGTCAACAACATGCGTTATTTACAACCAAACAACGATATTAAAATTACGACAATAAAAATATTCAATAACAAATTACAATCTTCTTTCTAACCGAAACTGCTCAGGTATGCTAAAAATATATGAAACTATTTACCAAAGAGAGGATTTGTTCTAAATAATCAAAAGTCTATAGCCAAACAAAATGTAACAAACCAGGATGAAGTAGAAACGTCACTGATGCTTTTTGAATTAATCTACATAGAGGTTTTTTTTAACATTAAACATATTCGTTTAGCATCGATGTAACTGAATTCACTTTATTTATATACATATTTAAATATTTCGAAATAGTCGAGCTTAATTCAATTGCTGTTTAAATAAAATAAAAAAGTATTACAGGAAAGACCATGGTTTAGGAAAGAGCTATCCGTTGTCATCAGTTTTTTTTTTTTTTTAAAAGGGTAAAAATGGATTACAATCAATGAACGCCAACCCTATTCTCTAACATACTTTATTTTTTATATGAGCTCGAATGTGTATTTTACTTGATATGGGGTTTCTAGACCTATTTTGCTTTAAAAAAATTTCTGTTCAATACAATTTTAACCAACATTTTCTCCTTAATATTGTAGTAGAACAAATGCGTTACGAAATGGATACCAGCCATAAAAAAACAATTACTTCTTTCATGTAGATGTGGCTCTTAATCATGTCATTCTTAATTCAACTACAATTTGCTGTTAAAATGTCTAATGAATTCTAATATTTTGTGAATAATTTTAAAAATATCCTAAGATTGTTGTGACATGTATACACTTAGTTAAGCTATATGATTTTCATAAGTTTTTTATTATTCTTAGTACACAAAAATTATTGTATCATATTTTATTCTGGTGCTAAACCTTTAATATTAGATAAATGGGAAATTAGGTATATTTGGAAATAATAAATTAAATAATAGAAAAAGATTTATAAATTATTATTTTCAACGGGGCCGTGTTTGTTTATCATCGTTCATTGTAATACAACAATAATTTAAAACGTAAGATATGATTGCACTGAAATTATTATAAAGCACATTTATTTAGAATATCGCCAGCAACAATCGAAAAGTGCGATAATAGCTTTATAACCTATTTATAAAGAATAGTCTTTATTGATAAGTTATTTATGTAAATGTATTCGAGGATAAAAGTAACAAGCCAAATACGCGTGGGGATCGAGCCGTTGTTAGGAAACTGCCAAATATGAACTCTAAATTGGAGTTGACAACAACAAAGAAGTAATAGTCGCAAATCCGTTGGACATGCAACTAGGCCTAATTCTACCATTTCAGAGTTATACATCTTTCAAAATATCACATAAAGTAGACAAACCAAAACATAAAACTGTAGTGACAATCATGCTGACGACTTCATTGGAAAAGGGACTATACAAAGGAGAAGGCAAATGTATTTATTGGACGCAATTACAAAATCTATGGCTACAGTTACATTAGGGGTGTAACAAAATATGTACCGATATATCCCAGCTTTAAATTGCTTGTAAACAAAAAGACACATTTGGGTAAAACTTCAGATCTATATAAATTGGACCAAATTCAGACTGCTGTCATTTCTAAGCCACTCGTCCGACAGCTCATTTTATTGTTTACAAGCGTACAAAAGCATTTTGGTAAAAGCATTAAGAAAAAAAGTTATTCGTGATGGAATTCAAGCATGATAGTGTGACTTCTTTATATTTGGCTGGAAAACCACAAGTGGCTATCGTTAGAACACTCCAGCATTTAAATGTGAATAACAGCAACATCAGCAGAAATGGTTCGAAAAGTAAAGAAGCCACTTGATCGTTGATTGTTGCAGTTTTTTTATCTCACCCTGTATAATTAATTCCTGGCCAAGATTAAAAAGTTTATAATGTGGGAAAATCGAAATGGACCGATCCACATACAATGGTTGAGGGTGCATCTACAAATTTATTTATTTATTTATTTGAATTAATTTGTGCAATACAGGGCCTTTTAAACCATAAAATCATATTACATGCTAGCAAAACGTGAGTAACACTTATAAAACAATTAAAAACTTTTTACAACTGTAAATTATTTTACTCTTCGTTGGCTCCCCAACCATAATTATATAAAAAAACAACAAAAAATATACAATAAACAATAACTAAAAAAAACTGCAATACAACATTAAGGTCTGAAACATTAGAAATATGGCTATTCAAAGATTATAAATGTAAATTAAAGTTAAGCTAAAAAGAAGCAAGATAAGTAAAAACTGTCTTCCTAAAAACATTATTAGAATGTTAAAATGTTCTCAGTTGATAATGTAATGGATCCTAATTCCGCGCAATTCGAACTATAAACGATCACGCATTAACATCTCTATAAATCCTTGGTATAATTATTTGAGGATTCCTTGTTGAATGAGAAAACACAAAAATTCTGTGTAGAGATATTGGTTTGCGACATTTAATAATATTTAAAAAAAAATCAACAAGAATTCTATAAGAAACAAAATCATTAAAATAATATCCCAGAAAACGTTTAACATAACTAGATATAGGATTCCTTCGGCGGACGTTATAAACAAATGCAGCCTTCCAAACCATATAGTGTTTTAGACACCAGCACAGCATTGGCTAAATATTTTTTAATACGAAGAGGCATATACACAACTCAAGAATTTGATGACACTATGCTGGTCTATTTCATCAGTTCTCAATAGCCTATTCGTATTTGGAGTTCACACCGACAACTTATATTAGCAAATTATGTAAATGAAAAATACGATAATAAATAGGTAACTTGTTCTTCTTACTAGTCTATACCACCTTCATTGTTCCTTTGTTTTCTAGTTCATCTCGCCAAAGTCAGTATTATTTTTTGACTTTTCGATTAAATTACAAATCTTCACACCGTTGCATGACTTGTATACATGTATCATATTGCAGAAGTTATTAATAATGGGACGTAGTATTCCTTACACCCAGCCAACTAACACACATACTAATAACCCTTATGAGCATGTTAACAGCTAAGCAAATGTCAATCGATTACTAGCATTGTGTAAGACTAATTGATTCTATATATAGACAATGTATTCAAATGGCAATCCAATTTCACAAATACAGATAACATATCTAAAAAGCACAAATTCTAGGTGGGTATGTTATGCGAAATACATTTTGCATATTTGTTAATTGATCTAATTAATATCGTACAGCGCATAAGGAGGTATTTACAAACAAAATAAACTCCTCCTAGTCTTATCTTTGTCAGTTGATAGTGTTTATCGATTTGACGTAATACTTGAGACAGTGAAAGTCTAAGAGTTTCGTGGACGAAGGAATCGCAAAAATTGAACTGATACAATCCGACTTACCCACGACATTTCCATCGTTGGCTTCGACGACCGCTTTGTCGGTTGACTTACTTTGCTCGCTCGTTGTTAAGCTGCTCCCACCACCACCACCATCCAGCTCTGTGCCCAAGAAGTTTAGCAATGCTTCTTTAAAATTCTCAAATGTAACGTGTGAGGTGCGTCCCTCGGCTGCCAAATTGTCAATTAGCACCTTTCCTTTGTCTCTTAGTTCTAGGAGGCCACAAAGCCTCCTTAAGGACTGTTCATCCAGATAGCCACATTGTTGGCTATCACAACTGTTAAACATTTGGAACAATTTCAGTTCATAGGGGTCTTGAGAAAATTCCATGTTTGTTCGTCTTTGCTTTCTTTTTGTTTCTTTCTTATTAGCTGGAAATCAGAACTCAGCCTTATGCTGTCACTGTCGACAATGTTTCTCCCCAATGCTCTGCTCCCGGTTGAGTTTGCAAGACCCCCACATGCAACGACTACGATTTGTTTGATTGTTTGGTATTTGGAGACAAAAAGACGACCACCACCACATAAAAAAACTCGATATTTTTTCAATTCGCAATACTTTTCACGTTTTCTTTTCTTATTTGATTAGCATTTACTATTACACTTAGAAAATGGAGTTGATAGCACCACCGTTTTATAACTTGCGAACGATTTTAATTAGTTAAAGAATAAAAAACTAGATATTATAATTAAATTTTCTTCGTGCGATTTGTTTTCTCTGGGGTGATTTAATTCTTCTTCTTGATAAGCGACACTCTACTTGAAATGATAACAGAATGTTAAATGAAAAGAGAATAAAAAATATAGGGGGGATTTTCATCTCATAAAGCGTTATTATTTGAGAACATCATATGAAAAGATATAAATATATGTATGTATATGTTGTTTTTTTTAATCAATTTTAAAGCATGGTTTAATTTCTATTAAACCATTGTTTTAATAACTGGCATTGTGAATAGCATGGGAGAAAATTAAAATAAAAAAATATAACGACGTCTGCGAAGAGGTGATAATTGCTGCTTGAGTGTCGTATGAGAGTTTTTGTATAATTTTACATCAGTAGCTTATAATCTTAAAATGTTAAATGTTTTTCTTGCATTCACACCTAAAAGGGTCGATTCGAAGAAAACTATACAATTATTCTCAAACTTTATGCAATTTTCTTGCATGTGCAAAGCCAAGATATATAAACAATGCAATTTCTTTAAATTCTCGGAAGCTTTTTTATATTATTCTTTGTGTGTGATGCATTTATGTTTTGCATTTTTTGTCTTACTGCTAAAAAGTGTCAAACTACAAAGTTAGAAATAATCTTTCTCAGTTCAGTGCCAAGTGGATATTTTTTCACCTGAAATTATTCCTTAAAAAAAACGTCGGCACTACCGGTGGGGATCCTTTAAATTAAAATTGCCGTCAGTAAACTTCCCTAGTATATATCAGGACTACAATTTGTCTAAATCTGTTCTTGCGTCATTATTAAAATGTTTCTATTTGTATTGACAGTTAATACAACAACAAGTTTCTATGTTTTTGCTGTTGTTGTTATTCCTGTCATCCTTCATGCATTCTGGGAAGTTTTCAATCAATTGATGATAGTCGGTCCTTCTGCAAGATAAATGCTTCTTTCCTACTTTTCGAGCACTGTTTTTTAGTGTTTTAGCGACGTAATCATTTTTCAGTGAATGACAAGAGAACGCCGTCAAACATCGTCGGGAAAATGACGCTTTGTCGCCGCCATGGCAACAAATCGGCTACGCTTTCATACATTCTTACTTCACACATCATTTGTGAGATGAGGAAAATATTCTTTTCTTCTTAATTTTTGAGTTTTTTGTTTAATTAATGGTAATTGTTGTTGGTTTAATCCGAATGCATTGAATGCAGTGTATAAAACGTATTTGAGTTTAAGGCCTGTTCCGAAGGGCGCCAGGTGAACTGAAAATAATCAACAAGAAAACGTACGAACGAGTTGGTTGTGGAGTCTCGAAAAAATCGACAATTCTGTCGCGGCTGACGCGGGGTTATTTACATCCCAAATAAGTGGAAACTGACAACATTGCATTTGTTTATAAGGTGGTGCAACTTATTCTGTCAGTGGAGGAAGGGACCGTTGCAAAAAGTGTGGAACGGGAGTCTTTGATTGCGGACCATGAATTCATACATGAGACAGTCATCTGTGTCCGCCGATCAGATGCACAGTTTTCTCAAGGACAAACAAGCATGGGAAAACGCCATCGCTTTGTATCAGGGTCCGGATCCATTGGACCATTGGTGGAATTATATTTGTTGGTATGAAAATCATGGCCATGGTGATCCCGATAATAAATTTCGTGAAACGCTGGAGAGGTGCCTAACGCTGTACGAGCACAGTGATTACTACAAACAGGATTTGAGAATGGTGCGCTTATGGTTAAAATACATCGATATGCAAAACAATCCATTGCATTTCTATCAAGTGCTCCATCAGCGTGGAGTCGGCAAACAAGCAGCTTGCTTTTATATCGGTTGGGCTACATACTATGAGTCGATCAATAGCTTCAAAGAGGCTGAAGCAGTTTACAACTTGGCCTTTCAAGAAAAGGCGCAACCATATGCAGACTTGCATCACGCCCATAGCAAATTGATGTACACCAAATCGGTACATGCCCAGCAACTGCTTCAACAACAACAACATCCTGCCTATGTTCACCAAAATCCACCAACAAATGTTTCGGTTGGTCTCCATGTCCAACAGCAAACACAGCCCCATCAAGTACAACAATATCGTCAGCAAGTTTCCTATCAGCAGGCAACAACCGTTCCCAACCCAACTATGGCATCGCAACCGTCAGTATCTCATCCGCAGCAGGCACATTCTTCGGGAGGACATCAGCAAACCCATCAAGTTTACCATCAACAACAGGTCCATAACCATTATACATCTACAGTGCAGCAGCAAGTTCATGTACAGGCGAATCAGCAGCAGCAACAGCAAGTCCATGTCCAACATCATCCACAACAACCGCCACATTCGATGTCAACAGCTGTCCACCAAGCACAACCGCAAACTGTCAATGCGACACAAATATCACATCATGTGTACAATGTTCAACAGACAGCAACCCACCAGGCAACGCCGAACCTGAGGTCTGTGCCGGTAGAGCAACAGTTACCGGCTGCCACTACCAATATGACACGCCAACAATATGAACGGGCGTTAGAGGCTTCAACAAAACACCAAAACACAACAACAACAACATGCACACAACCATCAACAACAGCTGCAACCAGCAGCTCTTCCATCCAGGTTCCCGGTCTAGATGCAAATATAAAATTCCCAGCATATTGTCGTAACAATCATGAAACGTGGCAACCTGCCCTCTTTCTGGAAGAACCAGATGATCCTCAAAAAATATGTTATTATGCTAAAAGTACGGTATATCCTCAAGGTCAAGGCGTTGAGTATAGCCCGGAAGAGATTAGAGCGAGGCGATATAAACAAAAAATTGCAGAACTGAAACAAAAGCAACAGCAACTTATGACAGAAGTACAACAGAAAAATCAAACACATCAGCTACAAACACAAGCTCAAGCCCAACAAAGTCATGTCCAAGTACAAGAGATAGGTTCCTTAAAGAGCGAACCTACCCATCATCATCAGCAGCAGCAGCAACAAGCGACTACGCAACACTATTACGTTCAACAACAGCAACATGTACAACATAATAACATTTATTATCAATCACAGATTCAGCAACACCAACAGCAAATTAATCAAATTCATCACAAGACGAATCATGTGGCCACTAATTATCAAGCTGGATACCTTCAACAACAACAGCAGCAGCCACAACAATATACTACAGCTTCCACAGAAGATGATGAAGAAGATGAAGTTGAAGAATATGCTGGAGCCGATACAGAGGGTCAGGAAGACGACAATCCCGATACAGAGGAGGAAGACCAACAGCATCAACAATATCAACAAAGACAATACTATCATCACCAGCATCAACAACAACTCCACTATCAAAATAACGCTGTTAATACCCAAGATGATTTGGAAGACCAAATCGAAGCTTCTACGATACGTTTTAGTATGCATACGCCTAGCCAGGGATCTCAAAATAAAACGCTTAAAATCAAATTCAAAAAAGAAAGACCCAGCACCGGCACCGAGACTCCTAATGGTAATAATAATAGCTATAGTGCTTACACAATTGAGAGAATATATCATCAGCCAGAGGTAAGAACCTTGACTTTTCTATTATTCTTCTTTTTTCTCATATATTTCGTCTTTCAGATTGACTCGCCAACATTGCCTGAAAATGCATTGAAACGCAACAATGGAAACAACCACAGTTTCCATCCATATATTCTGGGCCAAACTTCAACGCCAAAGACTTCCGCTAAGCGACAAAAATCATCGAAATTAAAGAAAGTTTCTAATAATTGTCACGTTTTGGCTTGCCATAATAGTAATTCATCATCCGCCGAAAATGGCCATGTAAACGCACTCAATGCTAGCAATAACAATAACAGTTTATCCAAGATCTCTTCGGATAACAACAACAAATCTCATCTTAATGCCACATTCAATGATAATGCCAACTATTCATTCTCAAGTGCAGCCGCTTTGGACAACTCAAATTGTTCTCTGTCCAATGCTGTGGGTCGTCTCAATTTCCGTGATGCCTCAGCGCTTAATAATACCACACTGAATCAAAGTAATGCCGTTGATATATCCACGTATCAAGAGAATTCCTATTTCTCTACCCAACATGATGTTGAGGCAAAAGAACGACGTTTGGCTAAAGCATTAGAGACTATTGAACGTCATATGGCCAAAGAAGCTATCGATCCCTTTAGCAGTGAGTTGTGTAAGGCTTTTCTTACAAAGCTCGATTTTCCCGGAACGGAAAGCGAGGCCCATGATAATTACAAGATTATACAAACACCACTACCAAAAATCGCCAATACACGACAACTGACATTAGGCGATGGCATGCAATTTAATATCGATAAAGAGATTGGCCGTGGTTCCTACGGATCGGTGTATAAAGCCACAGATGCTGTTACGGGCGCTGTTGTAGCGCTGAAATTCCAGAAACCTGCAAATACTTGGGAAATCTATATATGTGATCAGGTATGTTACTACTGTAATTAAGTGTTAAATTTGTCGGTAAATATAACCTGCAATAATTGTAGTGGTTGTAGTCTTGATTGTGTAGCAAATTTTTAGGCGCCTAATTAATATTGATGTTTCTTTAATTGCTCACAGGTTTTAAAGCGTATAAAGTCACCCAATATCTTACCCGGCCTTATGGATATATCTACAGCTATTATTGCGCCCAATGCCAGCATCATTGCTACCGAGTTTTCGCCCTATGGCTCATTGTTGGACATCAACAATAAGATTCGCCAGGCTACCACCAAAGTTATGCATGAATCATTGGTGATGCACTTTTCCGCACAAATATGTAATATAATCAGCCACCTGCATCAGAACAAAATAATCCATGCCGACATCAAACCAGATAATTTTCTTTTGATGCGTGTGCCCAGCACTGATCTACATTTTCCTTCATTACGTCTAATTGATTTTGGCTGTGCCATCGACATGACGTTATTCCCCGACGGCGACAAGACGAAATTCCGGAAAGTTATACAAACGGACGGCTTTACCTGTATAGAGATGCAAGAGGGGCGCTCCTGGTCATACGAAACCGATCTATTTTGCATTGCGGGAACAGTGCACGTCATGCTATTTGGTGAATATATGCAATTGCAGAAGCGCGGTGATACTTGGGACATAAAACAGAAACTGCCACGTTATCTAAAGAAACACGTCTGGACGCAATTCTTTGGTGATATTTTAAATATAAAATCGAATAAATTGCCCAATTTGAGTGAGATGCGCAATATTTTTGAGGAAGAAGCTGCCAAAATGGACTCAGAATTGCAGAAACAAATGCGTACCCTATCAAATATTTTGCATAGACGATAAGTTTTTAATAATTTTAGGCATATTCTTTAATCTTAAAACCCCATTAACTTCAGACGAGTTCAATATTTTTCTTTGGTAAATATATTTAGAAGTGATGATTATGTTCTAATGTTGTACATGCGCTTACTATTTGAAAAAAAAAGTAGTTGGCCTAAGGATAGTAGCAACTATATTCTACGCCGAAGCGTTTTTTTACGGCAACAATAACTTTATTGCGTTATTTTTCATTGTTTAAGAATATGCATCTATGTTTTTTATCTATTTTGCAAACTAACTACTTGTTTTAATTTTTCCACCATCATGAAGTCCATAATTGTTGGCAGATATCAATTATACAAAAATTGGAAGTGTTTTTTTAAGTTCACTGCTAAATGCATTCGCTCTAAATTGAACAACAGTTGGGTATTTAACAAATCGATTACAACTATAAAAGGTCCATATTGGCACGTATAACATACACACACAAATAAATATATAAATTTATTTGTAGTTATTGTCCAACAAACAGTTTACTACTAACAACAAATTAAATACTTAATATTATTTTTCTCTGTGTAAATAAAAAGAAGCAAATTCAAATTTCCATTAAAGAAAGATTTAAAAATCGAGAAGTGAAAAAGTAATTAACAACACAACTAAACAATATTGTATGTAAAATAAATCATATATAACTATAATTATTCATTATTGTAATAGGTTTAAATACAAATTAAATAAAATAAAAAATACACGTTCGTTTCTTTTTAATTCCAATCAAACCAACAAGCATGAATGCAAGAATGCATAACAAGGAGATTAATAGATCTGATCCTTGTTGGTACAAGAAGATGATATTTTAATATAAATTTTATAGTACAGCCAATTCGACTTGCACTGTTCTGTTTTTTCATTGCGCTGAAAATGCATCTCGTTAAAATTCCAACTACTTTGTATGTAACGATTGGTGGACTTATGTCAGTTAACTCATGTTTTTTTATATGGCTGTCATTTAAGAGTTGTAACTCCAACAAATTAATAACACAGACCCTGTACATCTTATATTATTGATAAGCATAATGTTCTTAAGACCATGCATGTTTGCCTGTCTGTATGTTGCAAATAACGTTGGTACCCAAGGATGTGTTCAAAAATATTGTACTTAAAATATACATCAAGTTTGAAGATAGGCTTCATCCCCCATGTGACGGCATCATCCTATGTTTTGTTTCAGCAGGAATTACAAAACATATTCAATATTTAAAAAAATAGGTTTATATAATGGTACAATAAAAAGGTAAGGTACAAATAAAAGGTATGCCCACACACAATTTTGTGTATGTATTTAGTGTTTTAAAAATTAAAAAGTTAAAAAGTATCAATCGGTTTTACCGACAGTTGTATACCCTCAGCCTAGCGTTATGAGTGTTCAAACTGTTCACGCTTTATAGGGGAGCTACTAAAAGGAGTGGGAAGGAAATCTCTGGTTGAGAGATATTTGTAGAAAAGCATTGCTGATTTGTTTCGAAAGTTATGAGAAATATAAATACTGTCTTTGTGGGGTAGATCTGTAGTATGATTTTGTAACTCATTTTTTAAGTTAATGAAAAAATCGGTAACTTTGAAACCCAACATTTTGATATAAAAATAAGTTAATATTGAAAATATTGGTATCTATCGGTAAGTTTAAGCGACTACTTTGATTTCGTCGCTAACTTAACATAAATTTGGTTAATTATGGAATTTAAAAGCATTTTAATTTTACCGAATTACCCACAAGTAAAAAAACGTTAAGTTCGGCCGGGCCAAACTTTTAATACCCTCCACCTTAGGGTAAAGGAAACATTAGAAGAAATTTGGCAACAACCATTACAATGTCGAATATTTGGAGGTATCGTTATATGGGGGCTATACCAAATCGTGGACCTACACATGCAATGTTTCGCCAACGGAGCTAGAACCCATTATGACCTACAAATACCAATTTTTAGACCAATCCGCGAAAATATGTGGCAAAAATTATCAAAATACCGAATATAGGGAGGTACCGTTATATGGGGGCTATACCAAAACGTGGACCTATAATTACAATGACTCGCCACACGAACTGGGACCCATTATGATCTACAACTACCAATTTTCAGAGAAATTCGTGAAAAAATGTGTCAAAAATCATCAAAATACCGAATATTGGGAGGTACCGTTATATGGGGACTATACCAAAATGTGGACCTATACATACATTGTTTCGCTACCGGAGCTGGAACCCATTATGACCAACAAATACCAATTTTCAGACAAATCCGTGAAAAAATGTGGCATAAATCATCAAAATACCGAATATCGGGAGGTACCGTTATATGGGGATTATATCAGAACGTGGACCGATATATCTCATTTTCAATACCAACCATCCTAACACAATACAAATTGCTCTGCTAAATTTTGGCGCTCTACGTCAAATAATGTGGGCTGTATCGTGATTTCAACAGACAGACAGACGGACATCGTTAAATCGACTTAGAATTTTATGCTGATTATGAATATATATACTTTATGGGGTCTACGAAGAATATTTAACCCTTTCAGTGTCAATGAAAATTTTTGTCGAGATAAAAATCTGAAATTCCGTACTAATTTACTAAAATGTGCTCAGAAATTCGAAAACGAAACTAATAGAATAGAACTGCAATATTTTTAAATAGCGAACGTGTCTGTTATTAAAAAATATCAAAAATAACGGTTCGTAAGAAAAACAAAAAATGGCAAAGAAAGAGAGTACTTTTAAATGTCAAATATATTTGACAAAAACACTGAAAGGGTTAAGGATGTTACAAACGGAATGACAAAGTTAATATACCCTAGCTACAGACATGAACATGTATTTGTCGGAACACTTGCCGAAATGTTGCAAAGTGTTTACATTTTCTTCAGTAGTTTCTTTCACAATTTGTGTTTATTATACCCAAAAACAGCATTTCGTAAATATTCTGTTTGGAGGCAGTCTGGATCTATTTTTTATGAAAAACTAAAACAAAACAGATAAAATCGAAACAAACAGATAAAATCGGTTATATAAATATATTTTGATTTTCGTTATGGTTATTCAAACTGTTGAACCTTCACAAGAGAGGTTCCGAAGGAGTGGGCCATTTTTTTTCATTTCGTATCTGACATAAGTCTGATAAATATATTAGAACTTATCATATTTAGATTTTTGTTTTTTGAGACATTTCATAATATTTCCAAATTTCGCGTTCTATGAGAGTTATAATTATTTAAAATTTTGACCTGTTGTGGGGGAGGTACCAGAAGGAGTAGCCCGATATTGTCCATCTTCAAAACATATCTTGTGTTGATAGAAGAATTGAGATGCGTCGAGTTTAAAAGTAATTGGATGCTCATTTCGGATGCTCAATGGGTTTTCCTAATTTTGACCCTTTGTGGGGGTGGCACTAGAAGGTGTGGTCCGTTCAATATTGAAATGTGCGAAATTAATCGAAGATAATCGGACTCTTAGTTAATTTTTTATAAACGTTTTATTATTCAAAATGTTGACTCTTTGTGGGGGAGGTATCAGAAGGAGTGGTCCGATATCTACCATCTTCACAAGTATTGGGGTGTATAAAATTTCAAAAGAATCGGATACTCATTTCCCGTTTAATGAGCTTCATGGTTAGTCCGACCGACACCGATATATTCCATTTTCCCACCACACCTTGGATCAATAAATATAATTGTGTGTAATTTGAGGACTATCGGACCCTCACATAACATTTTATGATCCTCAAAATGTTGATCCTTTGTAGGGGAGGTCTCTGATGAAGTGTACCGATATTGTTCTTTTTCGCACCTGACTTAGCACTGATGCAAATATTACGATTCGCCAAGTAGGAGCAAAATTGGATTATCATTTCCATTTCTGTGCAGTAACATTTTTTTTTTTTTGAAAATTTTGACCTTTTGTGGGGGAGGTGCCAGAAGGATATTGTCCATCTCCGAAATCGATCTATGTTTGACAATAATATTACAATGTACCAAGTTTAGACCAAATCGGATACTTTCTTAAAGAGTTACCTTGCGCGCCAGCCAGACAGATGGACGGACATCGCTGGATCTACTCCAAATGTTCTAAAATGGATTTGGTCCAAAGAGACCTAGGGTCTAAACCCGTTATTTCGATGAGGCACGTTTCGGTCGTATCAAATGATATATACCCCCTGTAGCCATATGGCTGAGGGTATAACGAGTATATAGAGAACTATGTGATAAACGGTAAAACTATTAGACTTAAATGTAACAACAAATATAGCATTTAACATAAGATATTTGAAATATCGTCTAATGTAATTAATAATTGTGGTCCATTGAAATATAAGTGTTAAGACTGGAAATTGAACCCAACATCTTCAAGTTGCTAACCTACTTCTAAATTGATTATAATTCTTCATTTACAATAGTTTCTTTAAATATATGCTCCACCAATATGTGGGTTAGGCCTTTTGGAATTTAAAAAAAAAAAAAAACAATACCATCAGACGCAACCCATACAGCTTCAGAAATTATGAAGCCGATTCTCAACAATTTTAACTGGTTGAGCACAGTCACATGTTATCTCATTTCCTTAGAAATTTTCCGAATAATGACAAAGGAATTCCTTATACAAATTAAGAAAAATCACTCATTTTGCTAACACAAGAAATTACCTTTTAAGTTATGATTAAAGTTCAGATTCTCTGCCAAACAAACATGAACTAAGTACTAACGTGTATGTCAAAGCTTTCCCAAGATCAGTTGACTTTACACCCACTCCCGGGTTGTCCTTACAAATCATTACCAAGAAACAACGGCGTTGTGTGTTTTCAAATAAAGGTCAACTCCAACACTTTTAACCGTTTACCGAAAACAAAAAAACGAGAAACTTGAATGACTTAGGCCAGGAAAATCGTTATTAGTAGAGTTTATCTTGTTTTTGCTTTTCTTTTCCGGCGTGTATCGGTTTGTGCATGAAAATTGCTGAAATGGCCTACATTGAAAACGACTGTTAAGAGGAGAAAAACTCTCTACGCCACAAAAAAAAAATCCACAACAACAACAACGACATTATTATGGAATATAATTTATGTTAGCGCAAATTTGAAAACTTGTTGCCAACTTCTTATTTTACAACATCAACGAATAGCAAACAATGGCTTAGTTACAACAACGACGACAACAATTGCCGAGAGTGAAAGAAGAAAATGCAATGCAACAACTCGATTGCAACACCAACCCACAGCCAACCAGCCAGCCAACTGCTGCTTCTCCTGCTGTCGCTGCATTTGTTACCATCAACTAAATGCAACCCAATGCCCGTCAAATGGTAAAAGGCATCCACATGAAAATACACGACAACGCAAAGAGAGATTAGAAGGAGAGTTAGGCCGTCAACCAAACTGCCAATTGCAAAATGAAAAAGAAAAGAAAACTCCAACGAAGCAAAGCAAAATGCAGCGAAAAACCAAAACACATAGACACAA